TTAAGGTACAGTACACTGAGGTCAAAGACGCTGCCTTCAAAGATAGGATTGCTCCTCACGTAGGCACATCAAAACTCATTTTATAGTAATTAGTTCAGGTATTGGTAACTGTAGTTGCACCAGCAAGAGGCTCATTTTAGCATCCAGCTGGGTGTGTATTTTACAGCCAGCTAGTACTGCATTACGTCTTCCTAAGGCTGCACTGCTAACAGTATGTAAGCCAGCTATTTCGCAACTACATTTTTACCTTTCCATATACTACAGTCACACTTTCAACTGCTAAGACGACATGCTCAGAATGATACTCACTGCTAGCACAAGAGATGCTGAAAATGATGATGACAAGCATCTAGCTCCAAAAACACCTGTTGACTTCAGGTGTCAACCTAATAATCAATTTTCAAAAGCGTGTACTGGGCACTTACTTTAGCAAACAAAAGCTCACAGACAGCGAACACATAGTCCTGAGAAGTTTCAAGGTGGGCATCTACAAACTGAGGAACTCAAAATTGGCTGGTACTAGAAGATACTGGCTAAATTTGCTGCCTTTCACATCAACATCAAGCGAAAATGCTATCTCATTTGCTTAAAATTGTTTGTTTTTACTGACGGCTTACTGTGTTGCAGGTCTGTACACACATAAATACTTATCTATCACTATAAATACACATATTGTTATAAGAACTACAGTGTGATAAAAGACTTTATTTTTTGGAGTCACCTGGTCCTCAGAGGCCTCCGCTGGGTTCTAACCTCCAGCAGCAGCAAATCCTTGGGGTCTCAGCCAACACCAACTTAAGTTATGAAAAGTCTTTCCTTGGAGTTCAGTGGATATATTAGGTCTTCAACATACAGCCAATGTATGGGTGTGCTGAGGCCAAGACAGATATAAAAAGGAAAACAGTGGTTTGTAGTTCCTTCACACTGTCTTCCTGAAAATAAGGGGAATTACTATACAGGGTATTAGAGAGTTATTTAGCATTGCCTGCTGTAAACTGTTACCCAGACCAAGCTTAAACATCCTGGGTAGCGTGAAACCACAGATACTGCCGGTTCAATGACGAGGTCTTAAAAACACCTTTCTTCTTCTTTGCCTGACATGCTAGATATCATTTGGGAAACACTGGCCTGCATGCACAAGACAGACTAGCACATCGTAAGATTTTAGGTTACAGGGAAGGTATTATGTAGCTGTAGAAATTAATCTAAGCTTAACATATAACAGGCCTCAAGGTGAAGTCAAAGGCTAATTCAAATGGTGTAAACCTAGTATCTTCCACAGCCACCACTTTTATTTATAGGATTTTATCTTTTCTAATTAAAAGGGTGGTGGTCTGCACTGAGGATGATACCTAGGTATAACTGGCTGACACTCAGATCTTGATCATCCAGCCCTGGTTAACGAACATTGATTTTCTGCCCCAGTGGAAGTGATTTTATTCTGATGCATGCCATTTAAATTCATTTTACACAGCTGCTTAGCGTGGCTTGGCAAGGCAGAGGCAAACCAGCTTTCTGTGTCTAAATGAGACTCCTGAGCTGGTAAAGGGTAGATCCTGGATTAACAGCTGAAGACAAATTTCTCTTCCCTATTGATACTTGGCTACTGATTCAACAAGTTGACCTTGAAGGCGATCACAACCAACTCAAACAGAAATACTGCTGTGTAACCATGACTCTGACACAATCATTTAATTTTCTTAATTCTACATAGAGGGGTGTGTTTTATAGTAATAAAAACCCAACAGTTTTTGAACCCCACAGCTGAATCTTATAAACTCAAGATATTCAAAGAAAAAGGCTGGACACTATTCATGCACTTTGGCATAACAGTCAATGTCTTTCCAGTTAGACAAAATAGTATGGTGCAAGTGCTCTCCCATTTCACTAATTTCTGCTTTTTGAACAGGAGACTTGTGTTCTAATTTTTTGTTTTACTTTGTCCTTTTTCATATACACATATATCAATGATGTTATTAAGGGAAAAACAAACAAACAAAGGCAGCTACAGAAAACTGGTAATTAAAACTTGTTAATAACTATGAAGGCAGCAGTAATTTGGGTATTTTAGATTTTCTACGGAGGTAACAACTGAAATAACATGATGGCAGGGGAGTCCATGAAACTTGAATCTCAGGTGAAGCTAGACTTGGTTGTGAGGGAGCAACAGGCTGAGAGCCAGTGTACTTTCTCCCAGTGCTGTAATTTACAACATGGTTACAGAAATCACAGTGTGAAGGACTCTGGTGAGAAAACAGTAGCTGTATTTCAGGAGAATGTTTTGCACTGGATACTTAGTGCTCCTAAAAATTGTGCTAGTGACTAACTGAAATTTTTCAAACACATGTACGCTCAGTTACAGTGTAATAAAACTTTCTTGAAAATCCCATTAAGAAACCCTGTCATCACTCCTGCAGAACACCACCTCTCAGAAAGGGATCATACTTTGGGGGTTGCAGCTCACTGCCCAGGCAGCAATGACAATACCACCAAGTCAAGAAAATGGGGTTGCACAGCACCGCTGTGAGACAAGAACACCAACAATGAGGGGAGAAAGACGATGCCTGGGTCAGGGGGAGGAGGGATCTCATTCCTTCTCAGTGATGAGGTTCTTCATTTCCCGGTCAGGCACAAGGAGACGGAGTCATGCCAAAAACCATGTAGGTGTGTCAGCGAGTGACATAGAGATTTTCATCGTACTGTCACAGTGGTGTGAGTAAAAAGAAAACAAAAAACTAAAATCCCCTCTACAATGCAAGTATTTGTGTCTCTTTCACATGACTTTTATGTTCCTTCAGCAGCCAGATGGCATGTTTTTAAACATTAAAAAAAATTTACCAAGGTCCCACAGCAAGTCCAGTTTACATTGCTACCTACCCATACTGGTCAGGCTGGTGCACCAAGGGAGCCTGAGCATTGCCATAGTTAGGGTGCTGTGAAGAAAACATGGGGCATCCGCCAGCCCCAGACTAGCTGGGATAAGCAGGCAACCTAATGTACAGTGGCCTAAAGCAGAACAGAAGAACAGCCTCTTGGATTTGCTCTGTATCACAAATACAAATCACTGCTAAGTACATTCCTTCCATATGCACGTATGGAGGACTTGCAGGAATAGCCAAAAGCCATTACGCTTTCTTCCTTACAGTTGACTTGAGATCAGAGAGGAAAACAGTGTGCTTGCAACCCCCTGGCATCAGAGGGGTGTGACAGCTTTTGCTCAATTTGCAGTTTATAAATAGCCCTTTTGCCAGTATTTGCAATAGAGATTCGATGACTGCTCAGCCCTTCCACAGGTCCTGGATCACTGGAATGGGCAGTGTGTGACAAAAAGGTTCTGAAATGGTGCAGTTTTGCCCAGGCAAAGCTAGAAACTAAAACTGACTTGGGAGGAAGGTGTGAGATAGGAGTGGTAATCATTTAACCTAGTTTTTGATAAACACCACACACTATGCCCAAAGTGTAAGTTGAATCACAACCAAATACTTCCACTTAACACAAAGTCTTTTCTTGCTGTAAAGACCAACAAACGTAAGCTTTTCCATTCATTACATGATTATAAAGAAAGTGTTCCTGCGGCTGCAGTGATGGCCCATTTATTCCTTCGTGCCTGACCTATCAGCTTATAGCCTAAACGAGACAGACAGAAGCAAACTTTTGTAAATCCTACTAGACAGGTCTGTTAGAACAACCAACACAAGCAAGAGACTGCTGGTTCACAGATATCTGCTGGGGTATGGTCTATTTTAAGCGAGTGTGGTTCTATTTTACTGAACAAGAACATGAAGTACACTAAATTTACTGTTATTGTTTTAAAAGTTTGCTATTGCTTATCACTAGAAGCCACCTGCCTTCCAAACTCACAAAACAAGAAAGCAACAGATACACAGGGACACCTTAGCTTCCTATTTCTAGTTTTACATTGCATCTTGGAATTAGAGCAACTCTAGTGTCCACGAACACTGACCTTGAATGATAAATACCTGTATGCGTGTAGGCATATGCATAAATAAATGCAAGATGCTTAACACAAACACACACATAAACACGCTCACCAGAACAGTGCAACCAGCTTTGTGTAGCTCTCAAATGTAATGGAACTTCTTGCAACAGAAAAAGATAATAAATACATCAGGAGCTATTTCAGTCCAGGAAAATGTGGAAGTTACTTCATCCGAAAAATTTCCCAGAAAGTATGATTTCATTTCAAGTATTCAGGCATCTTAAGAATAACCACGGACAAAAAAGTGCCTTTGCCAAAATCCATGTACAAATGGCAACATGCAGTTATGCTGCCCAAAGGGGAGACAAGAAGACAGATGATGGCTCCAACCTCTACAAACCTGTTTGCAGGTTCTCTCCTATGGATGCAGAAGTGGCAGTTATCAACTCCAGATAACTACAGATTGCTTTTATGCCTCCTTCTGCCTTTCCCCTCCAGCTGCTCCCCTCAGCCTGCCCTCCTCTCCCCCTCTGCATGCCTGCCTAGGAACAAGAACATCCCGTAGAAGAGAACTGTCATCAGCACTGCTGCTCACAACATGGGCAGTAAATGCAAGAGTTGATGGGCAGTTTCATAAGCTTCCTTACTCTCCGGCAGGGGCAAGCTGCCAAGGACATGTTGGCCCTCTCTCTACTGGAGATAAAAAATATATATATCCAGCTAATCAATTTTAAGTTGCAGAGGGCTTGTTTTCGACTGCTAATATCACTGCAACCCTGTGGGTTTTCCTAAAGCTTACAGTGCCAAGAACCAAACTGGAAGTGGCCGTCATCTCCATTGTCACAGCTGCTTTTCGAGAGGATAATTCAAACACACGGTAGCATGCTTTCCCCTTACGTTTAAGGAAAAGTACTCTTCCCACATGCCATCTCTCCCAGAGATAAGGGCATAGATAGAACATGTATAAATGCATATGCATACACCTATACAGTGCCGTTACTTCAGAAATGACAAGAAGAACATTCCTACTCATTTAAGCTCCTTTCACCTGGATGCATACCTGCTCTGAGCGGAGTTTGCAGCAGCCTGCATCACTGCAGCAGCCGCCTCCTGTGCCTTACGGTTCACAGTTGGCATGGGTGGGCCCATCCCGGGGCCTCCCTGCTGAGACATGCCAGGAGAATTGGGGGTCATACTGCTCATGTTTCCAGGAAATGGTCTGCTCTGCATCCCAGCTGATGGCATCCGTCCCAGGGGCATGGTACCGCAAGGCTGGCTTGGCCCTTGTCCATGCATCTGACTGTTGGCATTTATCCCCATGCCGGGTCCTGGGCCACTGTAACTTGTGTTGGGCACGCCGCTGTACGTCGGTGGTCTGGAGTAGTTTCCTGAACAAAATGATAAAAAGCACAGAGAAAAACATTAAACTTTCGAGCAAATATTTCTATTTAGGAAGTTAGCAGCTGCAGAACTTACACACGTGAACTAAAGTGAACCACGCTGGCCTCAATGTCAGAACAACTTTTTCACCATGAGGACAAACAAGCAGTGAAACAAGCTGCCCAAGGAGGTTGTGCACACTCCCTCCTTGGAGGTTTTCAAGACCCAGTTGGACAAAGCCAAAGTAACCTGCTCTGATCTTATATCTGACGCTGATTTGAATACAAGGTCAGCAAGAACAACTCCTGAGCACCCTTCCAATTTGAACGATCCTATGAACCTGATTTTCACGTACCCTCAAACATCTTCTGCCTAATATATGTCATGGGATAATAGCAAATACAGAAAAGCACAGCCTCCAGAGGGTTAACAACATAGCACACAGTACAAAACTGCCTCATGCAGTAGAGAGATATGTGGCATGTAAGAAACCCATTACATAAGCTCAAGGGAGAAGCTTATTTTTGTAATTTCATGTTCTCATTCTTCGTCTTTCTGCAATTTCAGCAACAGGCTATTCTCACTGGCTTCTTGCTCCTAACCGTTCTGCCCATTTGTGTCAGAGATGCTTTGGCACAGACCGGTGAGGATGGCTGCCGGGCCCCGAGAAACATTCCCACTCCCTCCTGGCCTACCCTGCTTTCCTGCTAAGTTCAAAGTTTGCCTATGCCAGCAGAAGGGGTGATAGCTTACAGTGCACCTCCTCTAGGAAAACTAGTATTACAAGAGTAATCAGCAACAGTACAAAGATGCTAATATAAACAGGTGCCTTATGAAGGACGGCATGAGAACCCTGGCTGACCCCAATCTACTTTGTCACTGGAGCAAACTGCTCCGCTCGCAGCAGCTTAACTCATTTGAGTGCCGATTTTCCTATCATGTTGAAAACCCAAGACGAAGTGAGTGTACAGCATTCAGTGTTACAGAAACAAACCCAAGCAGCATGAGAAAGATAAAAAAAAAGGTAAAGATATGATAGAAAATTATTTTAGGAAACGGATCACATTACACTACTTCAGTCATCAGTTTTGACTTGTCTTTATTTCCATCTCATCCAGATTAGTGGAAACACGACCCGTTCCCTCCCTCTGGGATGCCGCAGAGCAGAGTTTCCTGACTACTCTCAGATATTCCCACGCTTGTTCAAAGGCAGCAGCCCTTGGACTCTTCCTCTGAACGTGGAGATCAGCCACGTCTCTCCTCAGGCCTCAGCTACCAGGCAGAGGAGTCAGTGGCATGCAACTCCTGTTTATATTTAAAATAAATATATTCATCCATCATTTGAATGCACACATAATTAATTCATACGCTGCTGTGCTTTGGCTAATCCTCCCCTCCTCCCCACCCAGTAACTGACTCACTCTGCTACAAGTTCTTCTCAGCAAGAACGCATGAGACCTACGCTTCCCAAGGAAATGGAGCAACAATTCTCTTCTGTTTTAGAAACCAAGTTTCTGCCTGGGGGTCTTCACAGAAGAATCCCCAATATGTGGTTCAACAGAGATGAAAGGCTCCAGATTCAGCTTTATGCTGATTTCAGACTGCCCTGTCACTTCTCCTCCTCTAGGCTCGGCCACTGGCAGCTGACTGTTTTCTGTTCAGTGAGCCATCGCCCCCAACCAGAGTTTTGGTTGCTGAGACCTGCTAAAGTCACACTTCTGATCCAACATACGTGACCACAAACTGAAGGGTTCACTAGTTTCATACTGCTTTGCTTAGTGTTAAAGGTGTAACACGCAACTTGGATGTTGCTCTGGTTTTCCAGTTGCTTTGTGCAAGAAAAATGTAATGCAGCAAGATGGTGTATATGTGTGCTCAAAGATTACATACAGCCAGTTAACACGTTATGTACATGCCATTAGTAACACTGCTTCCCGAAGTGAAGCACATTCCCTCCCTAGACTAGCAGACCTGACATCCATAATCACTGGGAGCTACTGTCAGTCCAATTTACACAAAGCCGATTTGTTTTGTCAGTTAGGGTCTACAAAGTATGTTTTTGCTTGGAAGAGCAAACACCAATGCTAAATACTATTGCTGTTTCAATGCTATTTTGAATTGGGATAAAAAAATCTCTTCTTTTGTGTTTTGGCTTCTCCAGCGTAAGCACAACACAGGAAAAACAGTGGAATCTTCTCCATAAAAATATGTGGCTCAGTTAAAATAGCTCCTAATCATTCATCTCCAGGGATACACGTCCAAGAGCACAGGGAAGTGGTATCTTTTCAGTAAGGAAAACAAGTTTCAATGTTTTTTCCATGTTTTTTTTTCCCTAAGCATTTCCTCAATACCTCAAGTACTAGCTATTCTTACACCTTTCCCAGACCACAAAAAAAAGGCAAAATAAAAGCCAAACAAAATACAAGAGGAATTGCCAGGAATGAGGAGTGCAATCTTATTTCCATGTTTCTCTAATAGATTAGTAATTTGTTGGCAGTGGCTTTGACAGAAAACAGATGGATGCAGCATTAAACACAATGAATGCAGCAGATGCTAGGCCAGCCCACATCAGCTGGATGTGTCAGGCAGCCAAGTCCAAGAGCCCACACTTTTCAAGTGGGTACAAGCCTGGCAACAGCGGCTGTACAATACTACTGAACAACTCCTCCCCTCCATATCCGAGGGATTCTTGATTCCAACTCCCCCTCGGCAGAATAGAATTGTACTCAGAGAGATGACATCTCAAATGCAGGAGAAAAACCAAAGTACTAACTGGAATCAGGAAGAAAAAAAAAAAAGTAATGAAGATAAAATATAAAAAAGCCTACTAACAACCTGCCAAAGACAGATGTTCATACTTACTGCTGAAACTCTGGTCCACTTTGTCCAGGTTTGCTGAACAAAGTGCTCTGATATCTTGCCATTTCTAGGCAAGCTGAAAAGAGGGAAATTTGAGAACTACCTGTTAGTTTTGCTCTCCGCTTTAGAGACATAAGTCAGATTCACAGTATTAAAAATAGTACCTTAAAATAATTTCAGAATTTTTTACATGTGCACTTAACCATCAAGTTTTTCTTGTAGAGATGATTTAAATGTATTGTTCTGAATTCCTCTGAAACTATTTTACCTAGGGGACTTTGGTAGATATAGTTGATATTTAAGTCTTAACTCCACAGGCTGTTGCATATGTGGGTCTGGATTCGGATGTCCAGACTCTCAAGATACTTAGAGCATCTCATCCTTAAGATGCTATCACTTTAATTAAATTCTAGGATTAAAATCAGTGGGAGCTAGATAGCAAAGTGCTTTTGCGAAATGAGTCCAACATTAAAGGTTACAAAGCACAAATACTCAATTCATATCACTTTACCATGAACAAAAGGGGGTTTAACTTACTGTGAAGTTCTGGGGTGGTTCAAACATACTCAGTAGTGGTTTCTCTCTTTGTTATACCCAAACAGCGCAGTTTTACTGCTGAATTGATAGGAAAAGTTAGGGAGTCGGGATGCATTTCTGACACGTTTTATTGATTCACAGGAAGTTTTTCTCTGCCCCAGTCTTAAAAGACCCAACTGACTACAGCATCTGACTGCTCTCCAGAGTGCATTTAAGGGACATTTTGCTGTGGCAGCAGTTTGATGCTCAGGTCATAGACCAGAGCTCCATTAGCCCCTGAGCTAGATGTTGTCCAAAAACAAACCAAAGAGACTGTTTCTTTTAGTAACAACTTCCATTCTCGCTCTGCTTTTTCTTATTCTTGGGGACAGGAAAATGCCGGGATTTAATACAAGATTAAAACGAATGTTCTGTACTGCATGCTCCTGTGTTGTATCACAGACACACAGAAGTGTGGAGCCAAAGCCATTTTTTATTTTTGTAGGAAATGGTTTCACAGGATTGGACTAGGTCCCCAGTACAGAACTGCTTCCTGGGAAAATATATTCTACTCTTATTATAGATTTAAGTGTCATGTAAACACATGATAACCAAATAAATCAACCATATGCATGAAATGGATCATTCTGCTCTCATAAACTGGGGGCTAATTTCTCCAACCCAAACTTACTGGTGTAGTCTTTACTATGGTGAGCAATTCCACTGCAGGGAAAGGACACTAGCCTCGAGCAACGGTTTTCAGGACAGCACATAGTGAAATCTAGCATTCAAACTAAAAGCTTAATGTCACAGAATGCTTTGACGCGTATATAAAAATACAAGTAGTCCTGTCAAACTTAGCCTATGCTTAGCAATATTCTGGAGGAAGGCCTATGTGAACAAAACATGGAAAGCAAATAAAATCCTTGCGAATTATTTTAGTTTAATAATTTAAGAACTTGGTTGCAACCCAGGTAATTTTTAATATATTTGTTATTTTGGCAATAAAAGGCAAATGGGGTAACATTATTATATATTCATCATTGCTGGCATATAATTGTGCTTTGTAAGAGGGTATGTTAAGAGTTGCAATTATAGATTACTTTCATTAAAAATGAAAAACTTAAATCCAGGTAAATACATGACTTTGAAATATCACCATGTTCATCCCCAGATTTTATTAATGGTCACATTAGCCCGATGAAAACGTAGTATTCTTCTGCTCTAATTGTTACCTTAGAGCTGAAAGCCTGCAGGGCCCTAATTTTATGATGACCAGTGCACAAGATCACCAGTACTCTCCAAGAGCTGGCAGAAGAACACGCTTTTCATCCATCACACTATTCACCAGACCCTTCTGAAACGGCCTGTTAATGACAATGATGCTCATTTTCTTCCTGCCCCTCAAGTTCACTTTTTAATAGCCGTTTCTTCCTGACCGCGACCCATAAAATCATTACATAGGCACTTTCATCTACAGAGGGAGGAAAAGAACTGCTGAACTCAAGCAAAAAAGAAAGTAGTATTCGGCATGTTACTTAAATGCATTGATTTAGTACAAAAACCTTTCCATTCAATCAGTGTGGATGGCTAATGTTTTACTGCACTTGACACCCACTATTCCCATGGTTCGGAATCTCAGCAACAGCAGTACAGCTGGAAGTCAGGATAGCACATCATAAATCCACTGGATTTTTACCAGTTAAGCTAGTTGCTCACTGTGCAGATAAAAATAAGCACTTGGACAGCATTTTATGGCCACAAAATGCTTTCCAAATAAAAGGAAAGCACCAGTCAACTGGAGTTAGGTAATTAATCTTCACACATGGCTACAAGGCATTACTAGCCCCATCTTACAGTTAAGGAAAGCGAAGCAGAGAAATGAATCTACTTGCCTAAGTTGAAAGATGATGTAAAAAGCAGAGCCAAAATTAGAAACTGGGAAATCTTGGCTTGTAGCCTTGTGCTCAGAACACTACAACAAACGCTACCCAGAGATGAAACAGAAAGGACCATTGCGCAGGGCAGCAAGGCTCCCTGCAAACAAACATCAGAACTAGTTCTCAGAAACTCTGGAGATTAAAATAACCATCCTTGCTTGCATGGGGAAGCCATTGAGCCCTTACAGCGTCTCCCATCGCTGGCTCCAGTCCCTTTTGAGGATTTTAAGTAAGAAAGCAATAGTAGGAAGTAGGAAATAGAAAAGCTTCTTTATGTTTCTCTAAAGAAAATACTGCCCCTTATATATTCTGCAGCTTGACTTCAACTTCATTAAACCCCTAAACAGATGCATACTTTATAAAGGTTACCCATTAAAGGCAAAACAATAGACAAGTTCAAAGTTGTCCAGGGGCAGAAACTGTGTATTCTATTTTTGTTTTAGTCCTCCAACAATTCTGTCAAACAAGCAAAATAAAAAGAACTGTCTCTCTCTGTCTGAAGGATTAGTTAAGATTCACAAACCGTATGCGTTAGAGCTCAATATTATATTCCCACAGTAGCCACTGTATTATTATGCTCGTTAATAAGAAGACTTTAACCCTCACAGTCACCACGCAATTTCAGATTGGCCTTGGGATTTCATCTAAGAAAAGAAGTCCTATTTTGGGATCGGTGTTGTGACCCTTACTCCATGCTTGGTCAAACATGGCCTCGTTGCAGAGATAACATGCTTGGACTCCCAAACAATGGCCCTGGCAATGCAACATATTCATCATTTCCTTGCCCAGTTTCAGGTCACTATTTTTATACAAAGAAAGGTGCTAATAACAGAAGCAGCTTCTTCCACAAGGTGCAGCTCTACCTCTGGATGACAGTTTTGTTTGTTTAGGGTTTTTTTTTTACGGAGGGTGTTGTGTGTGGTTTTTGGTGTTTTTTGGGTTTTGGTGGGTTTTTTTTTGTTTGTTTGTTTTTAAGAAATCACATACCCACCTAGATACATGGTACATATATATTTTCTAAATATATATATAAAAATTATCATATGTATTACCAGCAAGCATTTTACCTTGTGGTCCGTACTGGCTCATCTGAGGCCCATAAGTACCACTTGAATTACTCTGCTGAAAGCTACCAATTCCAGGATGCACTTGGCCTCCAGGTGAGGGGTGTGGTGACATGGAAGGTCCAGTTTGCTGAGGTCCATACTGTGACATTTGGGGGTTCCTCTGTATGCCTGTCATAAAACCTAAAGGGAAAAAAGCGCCAAAGCAAAAATTAATATTCAGGTAACTGTTCTTCATTTAAGAAATCTTCGACATTAAAAAAAAAAACCAACCCTCTTTAGTTATTTTCAGACTAAAGATACCCAGAAAACTGCTATTGTTCATATGAACAGAAACAAATGCATCTCCAGGTCTGCAAAGCTGTCTCAACAACCAAAACCTGTATAAAAGGCTCAAAAACTTTCACTTGTAAAAGAAAGACAGGGCAGCCCTGCTTAGTTACAAATGGCTGCTGATTTTAAAATTAAAACAATCTTTAGGAAAAAAAATTAAAGGCAATTATCTGCATTACCTAATAAGTAGTAGGGAATTTGCCTGATGACTTACAGTGGGAGTATCATAACTTCCAAAATTATATGTTGCTACCAAAATGCGTAACTTCAGCATATAGAAATCCACTGTAAATACTCCTATTGCCCACAAACTCTCCAGAGCTAAAATTTCCCGTTATGTGAAGGCTAGTCATACCAGCCAGAAAAAAAAGTCGTTTTGGTATGTATTTGTGCTCTAGGTCCTTCTTTTGGTCTGTCCCCAGCACACCTGTATTGCATTCTCTCCTTTTTCCCTTTTGTAAATGTATTAATGAATCCCAATTCAATTTAAGGTTCAAAAGCTGCAGCAAGAGACCTAGTGAAATGCTATAAAATCTAGAAGCTTCATATAAAGGAACAGAACTAAGCCTATTAAATGGGAGAAGAAGAGGGTTTTGTGGTGGGGTTTCTTTAAGTTTTCATGAGCTGGGAAAAATCCTGCAATCCTGCTCATGAAATGTCTATGCAGGGATGCTGGTTTTCTAACATTTTACCCTGAAAGGTTTTAGTGCTGCTTTCAATGTTGAAGAGGATGTGCTGAGGAGACGGCAAGGTTTTTTTCTTATTTCTGGAGGAAATCCGCTTTCTCTTCTGTTCTGCCTGCATATTAAATTTCATCTTCGCATTTCTCTGAGAGGCAAAATGCGAGTGTACTGAAGGACGACGTTTGCTCTGCTGCCACGGGCAGCCCGCGAGGCCGCTGGCGGCTCACCCGTGCCCGGTGAGGCGGGAGGCACGGTGCGCTGCTGCCCAGCGGGCAAACGTGCACGAGCAAGTCTGCATTTTGGCCCATCCTGCAACTAGTTCAGGCACCCACGCTTTGCGGCTGCAGAGAGCTGAAGCACTGTTTATGCAAGGTGCCTGTTTCCACTCCCCTCCATTAATTTTAGTGGCATGCATGCGGGGAGGTGTGAAGTTGAAAGCCAAAAGACACCTCACCTGGCAGCTAATTACACCTTTCCTTACATGAGGGAGGGAATAGAGGAAAGGTAAGAGCAAAACCCCCTGACAGTGAGTGGACAAATGGAAGCTGCTGAAGGGAAGATTGGAAAAAGAAAAAGAGAGAAAAGGGGAGAGAAAGGCAAAGACAAGTTGTGAAGACAGACAGAAACGGGTGACAGGAGGAGGGAGAGGTGGCAGAAGGATGACTCTCCTAAAGGTCCGGAGTGTCCTCCCACTGGTTAGCATCAAACGTCACACAGACCGAACACTCAATGCCTGATTAATGAAGAGAGGTAATTTTTTCTGAGCCATATATAGACACATGATTAAACTCATAACTGAAAACATTGAGGTGCTATGGCTCCCACAACCAGACGGCTCAGGGGTCTCTCTGTGGGGACGACAGCCCCAACAAGCACGTCTTGAACTCATCCTAGCGCTGCTTCTACTGACACAGTAGGTGACACTGGGTGAACGACCTTCCCGCCTTTCTGCAGGTCAGTCTCCCCGTTTGTACACTGCTGACAAAGTGCTGTACGAAAGGGGACAGTATCCGCAATGTAGAAATGAAAGGTGGTGTGTACTTTAACATAGATCAGGCTTTGAGTCCAAACACATGTAAACAGTTTTTGAGCCCTCCACAAACTTTTGCTATATAGCATACTTATCCATTCACTAAAACCCTGTCAGAGAGACAACAAGCTAATGCTGCAGGTCGCAAGGGGAAAAACCAGGAGCCGAGATGATCTTGCATCCCCTTGAGCCCAGTTCTTTCGTGCTATGAACAGCTCAACCCATAATGTGCTAAAATTCTAACAACCGCAAGGTTTGGAAGAATATGCACAGAATTTTCCTGATCTTTGTGCAAGCCCCAAGACAAGGGATTTGATCACACTTGAACTGCAAAGTCAGAGCCTGGCACCTGCTCTGGAGGAAGCTGGACCACATGCACTGGCATGTGGCACAGCAAATAACCAAGGGCAAAATGGTGGCTTGGAAACTGGTCTGTACTGGTTGGAAAACTCCATACTTCTGCAAAGGAAAGCTCATATGACCTTCTCCACTTAGCTTTATTTCGAAACAGACCCCTCGATTTTTAAAATAGTTCCACTCTGCACACAAATCTTATTACAAAGTCTATGTCTTCTGCTGACAGTGCTGTAACTAATTTAGAAACCTAATACAATCGTATGTCTGTATGAAATAAAGGCTTGCATTCCCGACACACATACACCATATATATCACACTCGTGGGATCCATTTAAATGAAAAATTTTGTACTGGTCACACTAAGTTTTTTATTATAAAGATAGTAAAGTTACTCCTATATCTAGTACAGAAGTGAGGGGTTTCTGTTCACTGTGGGCCTTTTAATCTATACGAGGTAACTTTCCAAACATTGTGCTAGCGATAAAGGTTTTTCAGCCTGGTTATTATTGCAGGCAGTACTTTTTTTAACACCAAAAGGATGGATGACACATTGAAAAGCTATCGTTTGTACGGGTTGTAGTGATTTCCAGTAGCGATGCAGAGGGACTGCTGGTTGTTGAATCTAATGGAGAACATGGACTAATGTCTAATGGAGAACATGGAGAATATCAGTTTTAGCCAGCTCTGCTGTTGTCAGAAGGGCTCCTGAAGGAACTAGAGTAATAAGTGAAATAAATGTTTCCACTCAAATGACCTCTTCTTCAGGAAACTTCTCATAATCCGCTTCTGACGCTGTGAAATGGACTGTGTGGCTATGTGTACAGTCATAAATAAAACATGCCACGACCATTCCCTGGCCTGGAGAGCGATGTGGCACGCTCGTGTCCGCCCAGCTAAACCTTCCCACTCAATCCTGGTAGTCTTATCTGTATGACTCCTGTGCACAGTCCCCTGTGCTGCCTTATCATGCCCTGGGCTGTGGCTCGGGGAGTGCTCACAGCCATCAGCCAAAACCATGCCATGGGGCACGCCAGTAATTCAACAGCAGAGATAACTGTGTGATACTACTCAAACTCATGCTCTGGCCTTAGTTTACAGAGATGTTGATTAACACAAGAAGAACAGAACAGACTCCTTAGCAGCTTTGGACGCGAGGCATGAGTTTCATCATCCCAGAGGGAGTCAGATCCCTCTCAAATGAGGTTGGCTTTGCTATCTTCTCTAGAGCATGGACAGGTAAAGAATTAAGGAAAAGGAAGCCTGCAATTCAGGAAGAATATCTCTGCCATACTACCTTCTATCACTGTCTGTACAGTACGTTGAAGCATCCCCTTAGAATAGGACACGCTCCAACTTCCTTCCAGAGAGCAGAGAAGTAATTTCAGCTATAGATGCAACGTGGAGAAGAAGGTAAGATCAGGTTCCTACTGTGATCTGGATTCCATTACAACAAAGAAGAGTCTATCCTCACCTACCTCTGTGAGAGCCCAGTGAACGTCCAGAGACCAGTGCATGAGTTTGAAGCGTTTCAAATATTTGCAGAAAGCTCAGATGTCTTAGAAAGAAAAGGGGTTCCTGGTCAAGATGTTAACATTCTTGCATCATAAAGAGAAAACAACATCAATTCTAGAAATCTTATCAGAAATGAAAGGGAGCAGCTGGCATTCATTCATTTTTCCTTATTTACACACATTTTCCCTAGTGTTCAGCTTCATTTTATAACCGATACAAAAAGAAATAAATTTTCTTTCCAGAAAATTAGATCTAAGATAAAGTTTGCTTTTGTAAAGACAGGAAGTAGGATTACATTAGAGCTGCACTGGAGTAAAGGCGGTGGAGTGATTAAACAGCCAGACTGCATCTGACATGTCAACCTCTGTGACAAGGTGGGGTTTTTTGTCTTTTAAATAAACTGCTAGGGAACAGCTATGAGTTAAGACTTTAAAAATTGCAATGGCAACATGCTCATCAGTGAACGAATCTACTCCTTTCCCTTAATATTAGTGATAAAAGAGGTACAGATGATGCTTTACTTGCCATCACAACAAGAGATTACTTACCAAAAAAACACTTGAGTGGATTTTGGCAAACTAAGCTATTTCAGGAATAGCTGAATAAAGTGAGCCTGACAGAATTGTTCTCTTCCTTTTTAGCTATTTTTTATACTACATTTATGTACTTAAAGAAAGGTTGTCTTTATTAAAAGCTAATTTAATGTTGTAGAGTTGTCTTTTCTTTTTTTTAGTTCTAAATGAAACAGTAGCATACTATTAACAATTAGCACACCATAACTATAATAAAATATATTTGCATGTTCAAATAGAACATACGCACAAGGTTTAAAAATGGTCAGGTAGCAGCGTATTCTTCTTCTGTCTTTTTAGCACAATACAGAGAAAAAATACAAAACAGGTAAAATGCTTATGATAGAAGTGTTTCTGCTCCTTTGATAAAGGAAAAGACAAAAATGAAGCTTCTGTTGTCCTATACAGTACTAACACCTGGTGATATACATCATATAGCTAATACCATTTATGATGCCTTTGTAAAAATATTTAAAATCTTGTTTTTCCCCTATGCATATGTGTACACAAAACAGATAAACAACAGTAAATTACTTAGTGAAATTATGCACTAAGGTTGTCTTAATTACATTTGTACACTGACCAATATAAAATCACCTGTTTGTTGAATACTATCTCCTTAGCACTAACCATGAAAAACACCCACCGAATGTGCTGGGTGTTGCTGTAAAATCTGAAATGGATTCTTCTGATATT